CGAGCCGAGCGAGTCCTGTCCACGCTGTAATTCCTATGGAAAGTCGCGCTACTCACGGCTACGAAGGCGGAGGAGCCGCCCGCGGACTCCCGATCCCCCCCTCCCCAGCCTCCCCGGCCGGTGCGCAGCGAAACTCGCCCCCGTACCAGCACGGCAGAACGTTTAGCCGACGGGCGGTATCGCCGCCGCCTCCGCGGGTCCGGCCGGCAGCGTTCGTGCCGAGCCCCGCAAGGGAGGGAAGCGTAGAGCCGCCCCGAGGACGGCTGGCGGGTGCGGGGACCCCCCCGGGCTGGCGGCAGGACGCAAGGCAAGGAGCCGGGCTCTGCCAGCATCTGCCGGGATGCGGGCAATGCCGGGGAGGCGGGTGTCGGCCCACTGAAAGTACATCTTCCGTAGCTACTCTCGGTCCAGGATAGAAGTACAGCTGTATATACGATATTTAAAGAGAGGAATTATTTTTCGTGAGAAAAGGAGCCTGATCTAGTGACCTTGTTTTAATAGCCTTAGCCCCCGAGCTTCAACATTTAAGTTATTGTGAGGTGTTTTGTTTGCTGTACTCTGTACTAAGATAGTCGAGAAGGTAAATGTTCATATTAAGTCAATGTCAAGTCATATAATAGCTAGCAAAACGTATGAAAAATTAATCGTGCTGTCTGCTTAATTAAAATACGAGGTGTTGATCTTCTATAGCTAAGTACGCATCTCCCGCTTACTCTGTGTTTCTGTACTCTAGCGACCGTGCGGTAGGCAAAACGCACGTCTCCGGCAACTGCCTGTTTCAAAACCCGCTCCGTTAGTGGCTTGTTAGTGCGGCACGAACAATAGCAAGAAGCGCGGTTTGGTCTCGCCAGGCCGGGCAGCGTGCCGGCCCTGCCAGCCCCTGCGTCGCGGGCAGGCAGAGGGTCCCTGTCCGCACACGGCCTTTTCGGGTGGCCTCTGACCCCTCTACCCCGTGAGCTGCGCTGTTGATGTGAGCTCCTCTGAGTCTTGTGAACAGCTGAAATTAGAACATGAAAGTGTCTTTTGATACGTTGCTAAAGCGCAGATGACAGGCTACCTTCCTTCTCCCTAACGAGACCTACCGTTAGCAAAGCAACCCACGGTGTGTATTCCCTGGCTTTAACGGTGGTCTGGCCAAATACTTTGAAATACTGTCGAATTTACCAGCTACTGACATTTCAGCCGATATTTATTTATTTATTTATTTAATTTTTCCACGCATGAGTGCTTGTTTTTAAATGTGATAGCAGATGAGGCCAAAAATAAGGGCAAGCAAATTCAATAAAGGATTTAAAACAAAGCTCACGCCTGCCTTGAATTCAGCATGGCAAAGTGGGTCAGCTGATGTTTTCCGAAGAACCAAATTGATCCCAGCCGTAGTCTTTGTTCTAACACTCTCTCTGAAATGAGCATGCAAAATATTTCAATCTTTTGATTAGCATCCTCTAAAGCAATTATTTCTATAATTTTATATTTTGTTACACACAACAAAAGATTCACGTGTATCATGCCCAAAGGCTGAAAGCAAGCGATAAGTGCTTTATTTTAAATGTGCTTCACAGACTTTCTCGTTTTAGTTCCAGGACCTGGACAAATGAATTAACACAATATAACCTAAAGCAGCCAAGATTTGCTGTCTGACGAAGGAGGCTAAACTCGCAGCTCGCTCTTCTCATATGCCAGAAATAAAGCATGTTATTTTAAGTTGTGCATTTTTCCATCATTTGTTGGTTACGGAGACTTAGGTAAAAATGCCCGTTTATGCAATTAAATGAGTTCTCCCCCGGAGAAGGTCACTATGTTTTTTTTAAATCATCGCTCTCCTTTCTCCACTTGCACAGTCAAAGACGAAGGGCTCCGGACCACGGAAACCCGATTATTAACTGCTCCTACAATTAGCACTCGAACAACCAGCCTGCAGGAGGGAACACCCTGCGCTTTGCGTTACCTGCGGAGCTACATGTACTGTATTTACTAGACCTGGGGAAAAGTTTTCAGTACAGCGTTCTTGCGATGGGTTGGGAAAGAGCTCCTAATAACTCGTGTGAAATGAAAACTAAGCTGTGTATCGCACTTAACTGCTCCACGCGTAATATGCTATTCTTCTATAAATTGGAGTAAGAATCTAATCACTGAGGTGAATGACTAATATACAAAAGGTGGTAAGAATAATTTTATTGTATTATTAAATAGCATGTCTTCTCTTCAACCATTACAAATTTGTAGATACTACATGAACGACAATACGTAATTTATCTTTTTATTGTTGCCCATATGATATATTTACACATGCAGTTAGTACCGATGTCATGCTACATTTTGTTAACAGCATTTTGTTGTTTGCCAGACTCAAAATGTGAGCATTTCATCTTCTGTAGGTGTCCTGGTTTCGGTTAAACCACGACAGTAGGAAAATATCTCTGGGTGGGTGGAACGCGTGTACTAATCTGCACTCACAGGGTTGGAATCACCAGCATTTCAGGCCAGGCTCCTGGAGCATGTTCCCTTTTCTTCCCTAGTACACATCATCAGAGCAATGAATTTCTATCAGGAAAGTGCTTTTTTTTTTTTTTTTTTTTTTAAACGTAAGAAACAAGAATATACATCTAGACCCAGCAGCCCGATGATAAAGGCTAAAAACCGTGAAACTCGATGGCATTTGCTATTGATACCACTTGGAAAAGCAAACATTATAAAAATATTTGGAAGCCAAGCATAAGTAGAATTTCAGCACAGTGATTTTTTTTTTTTTCCTGTTTTTCTGGCATAGATTACGGCACCACCTGCACAGTTATGAAATGATACGTTGCTTTGTGAGGAAAGAGTTGGTGCTACAAGCAAGTTATTTCGTTTGGACTCTGTAATGCTTGAAAGGCCGTTGAACCATTTTATTCTTAACATAAATAATCTGTACACATCCTGTGCATTAACATTGTGACATCTGACAAAGACTTTACAAATGCAACTTCAATTTAAAATTGTACATTCATTTTCAAGTTGTACATATTTCTTTCTTTGTTACAGAGAAAATTGCAATGGGGCACAATAAATATAGTGTAATCAAACTGCAGTCTCCAATTCCATATATGACTCAAGATCAACCAGAGTTAAAAATGACTACTGTTAAGATATCGTAATCATCCAGGAAGGTAAAAGGTGCAGAGGACAAACTGCACTGCAAAAAAAAAAAAAAAAAAAAAAAAAAAAAAAAAAAAAAAAAAAAAAAAAAAAAAAAAAAAAAAAAAAAAAAAAAAAAAAGGAAAAAAAGGCAGCCAAAGGCAGCCTGGAGTTTGATAAAAAACCAAAAGCTAAAATATTAAAGTAAAATTCCAGTGTCACTGTTTAAAATAAACATACAGAACAGGGGTATGCAGGGAAGGGGCGCACACACATTAGAGACATTATCCTTTAACAGAAAGCGGTGAATCGCTGTGGGAAGGGTGGCCGATTGCTGTTCACTAGAAAGCTGCAGGCATCTCGCCACTTAGGACTTGTTGGCTGAGCCAGAGGAGCGGCGCAGTTTCATGGACATGCGGCTCTTGCTAGTCCGAGGAGACATTGGAGAGGCTAAGTCTGTTCCATCCACCTGTGCTGTTGCTGCTGCTGGAGTTTCTCCCGGCTGAGTCTCTGGGCAGAAGCCTGCAGAGGACAGCAAGAACCAGATGGGTCAGCGCCGCCTTCTGCACTCGCAGTGCAGGACTCTATTCACAAGGGGCAGAGAGGAATTTGAGTGCTGCTGTCACTCCCACAGCATCTCCTAGCCCTTTACCAGCTGTGGGTGGTGGTACTGCACGTGGAGCTAGCAACTGCCACAAATCCACCTCTAAAGAAAAGATGATGCCAGAAACCACTGAGCTACGGGACTGCAGAACCCCCTCGCTCTCAGCAACTGAGGCAGCACTGAAGTGGGCAACGTTCTCCCGCTAACCGGCAGAACAAGCACCTCCAGTTCCCTCGCAGGGATGGGGAGTCCTTATTCAAACCACATCCCAGAAGGATCCAGTCTTTAATGAGAACATGAAGGTTGTTAACAGCTCATTGCGCATGAAGGGAGCTCTAGGAATGCAGCTGAAGAGGTGGAGTGAATCAGGGGCCAGCTTGGGAGAGCAAAACATCTTCTCCCATCTCAACTTTAGTCGATGCTTCAAAAGGCAAATTCCTACAGGGCCCACAAGGCAGAAGCTTGAACAGAACATACTAACTGGATGCACTATACGCAACATTTCTTTGTAAAAGGAACAAGATGAATTTGAGATAACGAACGGTATGTAGTTCATTAGCCCAGTGCCCAGCACTACGCTGTGGTGGGCCCCGAGTCCTCACTGCAAGAGGACAAGGCTCTTCCCTTACAAAATCTTCTTCCATAGAGATACAAAAGGAAAAGGAGAAAACATGAAATCAAAATTATGTTCTCCTTTCCGTGTACAGAAAATTAACACTATGAACTCACATCCACAGAACTAAACTGCATTTTAATTAGCCATTTACAGAGACTGACAGCCTGACTGAACTCAATTACCTCAGTTGCCACTGATCGCTTCTGACCCGTATAAATTATGGACAGAAGCTTAGTCCTGCAGAAGTCAATGGGGAAACCCCTGCTGACTTCAGTAAGCCAGAATATCACTTGCTATTTCTTCCACATCATGCTATTACTGGTAATTCTCTAAAATAATAATGCAATAATCAGAACTGAAGATCCCTCTCCCTCAGTATACGTTTTATTTATAAGGGGTGCAAAAACTGATCATAATTTATTTTGAAAGACTCCTCTAAAATAAAATCACAGGTCACCAGGTAAGAAGTCTAAGAGTACATTTAAAACATATTGTCATAAACCTCAGTGATTTAGCGACCTGGCTGTCCTCCTCGCCTGGTCCATCACCTGCCTGCTCCAGAGAGATGTCACGGTACTTTCCATCTTTTTCAAACTGACACGACCCATCAAAGTGACAGGGAGGAGAAAGGGCTGTTATTTGTTCCCCAGCTGGTGACAGTAATTCTGTTCATGAACTAGGTACTTCATTGCCAAACAATCTGGAAAAGCACGATAATGCCTGACTCACTGTGCCTTATAGAAAAAGGCAGGCAGGGAAACATGCACTCTCATTTTCTGAAATTCTATCTTGTTCTAATTTTACAAGGAATTAAAGCATTTCAAATGGTGGAAGTTAGAGAACAGAAAATAACCGTTGTTGTTTTGCACAGCATACCATTCACAGCTAGCGTGAAAGACCTTCCGTTTCAAGCCTTTGCCCTTTACCTTGATGTGGCCAATGCTTTCTAGTGGAGGTTTTGGAAGGAGAAGAAATATCACAGCATTTCTTTCTTTGTTGAGAATGAAGAAGTGATGAGGAAGGAGGAGTGGAAAGAAGTGAGGAAGGGGGGGGAGAAAAGATAAAAGATAACAGGTGTGAGACATGAGACACGAACCGCAGAGATTGAAGGGTATTAACAGATGAGCACAGAAAACGGAATTTCGAATTTCATTATGCAATTGCTGCTCATGCTACAGGTTAAAGAGAGTGATGAGTTAGTTATGTGCAATGAAGCAACAGCTCTGAAATCCGGCGTCATACTTACCAACTAAGCATTACAAGAAAAAAAGGAAGAGAGAGAGAAAGAAAAGAATTCTATAACGTTATCCAGATCCAGCAACCTTATTCATAGCAACTCAGATACAGCCTAAACATTGTCTGAAACGCTTGCTTAAAGTCTGTGAAAACAGCTAAATACTCACACACATACACACAATCGAGAAGGAAAAACAAATGGCAACTCGATATATGGCTTCTGCTCCCCAGCTGTTTCACAGTATTAAGTATGCTAAAATTACAGCCAGTCTCAACATGAGACTCCTGAAATCATGTAAAGAAGAAAAAACAGAGCATTTAAGCTAGTTAGTCTGCATCGAATGGTCAAACCCTAGTGTGAAATTTTACCACGGGTTGGATAAAGAAAACCTTAACCCCCCTGTTATTTCAATTAAGGTATTATTCCAGCCGTATCTTAAAATTTTGTTTCTAATTCCTGCAGACAGAAGCACAGACTCACGTGCAATCCCATTTTTTTTAAGAAGCTGACTTAGAGCTATTGAAGAACAGAAGTCACGTAAAGTGATTTTCACATCTGAACATATCACACCAGAAGAGTGAAGAATAATGGCACTTAAAATATATTTGAAGTCTGACAGCAATCAACAGACTGATTAGTAACTCAATTTCTTTGGATTTTAGATAAGCATATATATTTATATATACATACATACGTACATACACACGTGGATATTAAATGTGGTATATAGAAATTTTGCAGGTTTTGTTTCCCCTTCACAGTTTTAAAATCTTCAGTGTAAAATGTTATTATCTTTATCTCTCTACGCAATGAAATATTTAGTTATCCAAAATATAAAAATAGGGTTACATAAGAAGGCTTTATTGACAATTGACCTAGAACCAGAAAGTTCTATAAAATAAACAAAATAGATGTGTTAAGATTGTTAAGAGGCTGAAAAATGTCAGGAAGTGATCCATATTTTTCATCTCTTAGGCTTGACAAGTGACAAATATCATAGCCTGATGAGCTATGATATTTTGGGGCCATAATGTAAAGCCGTTTCAATTGCTTCTGAACAAGGAGGTGGATCAACAAAGTTGAAATCCAACATTTTCACACTCCATTTGAGAATTTTAGGATCTTCTAATAACAGCACGTTGGTTATTTGACTCAGGAATTAACTATTTAAGTGTAAAATTGAACCCTAACTACACACAGACTGAGTTAGAAGCGAGGTGAGGTGGAGGAATCTGGAGGTATAACAACACACGTGTTGGCATGACTCATCTCGCTCGTCAGTTCTGACTTTCAAAGAGGTGAAAAATTCACCGAGCAGAAGCCTGACAGGGCGCTGATGTTAAGACAGGGTGCTGCATGGTAAGGCTACTCTCAGTACGTCTAGCTCTATCACACCTTGTTGTCTGGATCAACATTTTCCCAAGTGCCATTTCAGAGAATGACCACGGAGAAAAATTAATTTGTGCATGTTGGTAAATTTTGATGGCCTTTTAAGATACTTCAGCTCCCCTCCCCCCGACTTCTGAGGAAGAGGGCAATTGTTTCTGTATAGCTTGTGCCCTTTGCCACTCTTACAAATTCCAGTCCGAATCCAGCCAAGTCATCTGTCATGCTCAGCAGAGCCCTGCTAGAGTCAAGTCAATGAAGTCTCTCACTAATTTTGGGAAATGAGGAAAGGAAGCGAGAAGCGAATGCAGAAAGACTGCAAAAGCAGCTGCAAAGCAAGATGAGAAGGTGAGGAGGAGATGGTCAGTGGCCTAAAGACCTGGGAGAGTGGAACTGGGTATGAGAAAAAGAACTAAGAGCCAGACATGAGAAAGAAGACAGCAAAAAAGATTAAGTTTATGGCACAAGAGCGGCAGAGTCCATGTCCAGTGAAGGATGCTCTTCAGAACCTAGCTGGAAACATGACTATTGCGTAAACCCATTCCTCTCTGTCAACTAATATCTGTGAAACCCACCGGCGAAATTCCCAGTCTTTCCACTAGTGGAGATTCAGGCAGAGGTAAGACAGCTTACCATTACTACCGATTATTGCCCTATCTCAGTCTGCAGGTGGTGGTGGTGGATCTAGGGGTTACAGTTTTGCTTATGAATCACGTGGCTGTTAATCAGTATTACAGAATTTCTCTTTTGCCCTATGCCTTAAACAAAACAAAAATGGAAGGAATTACACAAGGAAAACGTTGTCACAAGACAATAAATTCATAGTCGAACATTCAAAAACTAGGAAATGTCAGGATTAAAATTTAATTTTGTCCTCTTGTGCATATGCATGGGATGCTTTTTAATTGGACAATCATACTCTATTTTTTTCAGTAGACCCATTTCACTACATGTAGAAAGTTGATCTGTTTAGGTCTATAGCGGTCCACACTGAATTTACTGCCTCAAAACGCTGAGGATCCCCAGCTTACTATCGTGGTTGACTTAAGGACAATAGGTTCAGAAATGCATGAAGTTTCAGCTTCAGTTGTTCCAATATGAAATTTTTGGAAAAGTTCAGTAAGTTTTGTGGTTTTGCTCCGATTTGGAATGAAAACAAAAATTTTCCTAAGTTTAGACTGGAGAAGGGATAATGAGAAACTCTTCCCGGCCCTGCCAGCCATACAGCCCTCATTTCTGTATTTCAACTTCACTTCCAGTCACAAACTTCAACTGCCACCATCAACAAGTGTTGCTTAGGCCCTTCTGCAGTGAGAAAAGCGCCATCATTCTCATCTGTGAAGGGGTAATACAGGGCCAAAAAGATTCTCAGTTCAAAGTTACCCAGCAAACAGCAGCAGAAAAGATTAAGATGCAGGCTGTTGAATTTGAGTTTCTCTTGTGCAAGGCTGAAGTATTGTTACCTCTACATTCCCCTGCCTCCCTGCCTGTCAGGCTTACTTTGGAAGTGGGGCAGCAGAATTGTTCTGAACACAAGCTTGAAAATGAAGGAATGATTGCTGGGATCGAGAAGTCTGATGCTTTCATCACAAGGAAAACACTATGACTAATGTAGAGAAGCCCCTTCTATATAAGGTTTACTGTACTGAGGTACTATTTTTAGTAGGAAGAGAGGGAAAAAAGAAGATTGAGAAAAACCAAACCCAAGACATCACTACATTTCAAAGCTCAGAACCTTAGCATCATGGGGTCAATAAGCCCTTCAATATCATTGAGCTTACCACTGACAGTTCCCTCAACCTGTTCTGGTGTCACAGACATCTAGTTTACTCAATAGCTGTATAGCAGGAGTTACTCTATTTAACAGAGTCAGCACGAAGTAAAAAAATACAGAAGCAACTGAATTATATTCTGTGATTAAGTGCAGGTAAATCTCAATTTTTTTAAACGTACACATCCACTACACTAGTCAGGTTCCTAAACATGGGAAGGTGGACTTGTCAGATATTTTGATAGGGCAAACTAAGTATGTAGATAAAAAAGCAGCAGCCACAATCACGCTGTATTGAAGAGCAACCACTCTAAGGAAGGAAATGGCTTTTGCTGAGGGCTGAGCCTTTGATAAAATAACGTCAATCTGAGGAAACAGAGTTTGTTACCGAATTGCGTATTCTCTATTTGCTCTGATTACCATAGCTCAAATAAAAAAACTGGCATGCTGAAACCGGCCAATGGGATCACAACAACAAAATTACAACACCTGGTGATGGGCTGTAGTAGCTTCAGTTTCTATATATCTTCCTTAGAAGAAGAAATTGTATATAATAGTTTATAAAAATTAAACATATTCAGCAACTGTAATCTTGGACATCACAATCCACTTAAAGAATCAAGTCTCTAATATCTGAGATGTGGAAATCTTTAGAAGTCTCTTCTGGTCAGTTATTTTTCCTTTTAAAAAAACACATAAAATAAATATTTTTAATTAAAAAAAAAAAATGTGATGTATTTTTAGAAGCTGGTCAGAAATTTTCAGATGACATGGAAATGTCTGGCAGGGAGCCTGCCAGGTTTTGTCTGAGTCATTTTGGGGGTGATGAATGCATGTGGATTGCCAGGCAGGACTCCAGTGCCACTCTTATATGCAATCCCAGCACAATTCAGAGCTCTTCACATATGTTTCAAGAAATCTGTCTGTTGTAGGGACCCTGGAAACCTAGGGGTATCTATTTTTTTAATAGCACATCTGGTGGGCTCTTTCTTGGGATCACGGTCCATCAAAGTTCTGGGTCACCTGTAGCCAACCTTGCTCACAAGTCTGCCTTTGCTAGAACTGGAAACCAGTGGTTTCCAGACTAACCCCAAGCCCCGGGGTAACCTTTTTAGCAGATGACTGCAGTGTCAATTTATACCTGCCTCAGGCTTTAGAATTTGTGCCCTCCAGAGTCAGCTTGGAGGCAGATGATGCGGTGCTATTTCAGGCACTCTGTCCTGGAGCTGAGTATCAGAGCCCCAGCAGCCCTAGACTGAACAGGGGTCAGCCCCCAGGCTGCAAGCAGGACTGCCAGAGGATCCCCAGAGAACCTGTGCTGGAATGAAAGCTCAGTGTCATGCAGGTCTGGGGACAGGTTCTTTCACTCTGATGCCGGCTCACACTGTGCTGCATGTCCGTCCTAGGAAGCCCCTTGGCTGCTCCCGACACTGATGTGTTGGTCAGTTCCACTGCACAGCGCAAGGTCCGGAAGAATGTGGCCCTCAGGTCAGGACATCATGTTTTGTGGTACGTAAACACACACGTGCATACACGCAGATGTGCAATACATCACAAGCTCCTATTAATGAGATTCCTGCAGAAAATCATTCCATTTTGATAGAAAGGTTAAGTCTAAAATAAAGTTTCCAAAAATCATAATCTTTTTCCAGATCATGTTAGAGAATACCAAGTATGACTAGGACAATTTTTAAAGGAATACAGGAATTGCCACTGCAGAGCAGTGTTCTCCAATGCACCAAAATAGTACAGAAAAGCAGCTTTACTTCACCCCAAAAGAATGAACTAGAGGAAGAGGGAAGAATGATTTAGCCTGGAATGAGATTTCTGAAAGTGAATAGGCAGAACTGATACAAGTGCACTAGAAAACGGAATATACACTGGCCATACAAAAGTGTCTGGTGTTGAATACTTACTGAGTGCATTAGGTAGGAAATGTGGCAAGGACTGGTATCCCTGGTTATTGCTTTTAATGTTTCTAGTCACAGATTTTTCCTATTCAAATGTTTTCATAAATTAAATTATGTTACTATTTTTTAATACTGTTTTAATTGGTTTTAAATGACTTACTTTAAATTTTGTTTCCCTTTGCTCTTGACTATTTGCACTAGCATAACTATATCACTTATTATACTTTGAAACTGCACCTCATTTCTACTTATGGTTTATACTTTCAAGCCAAGGAGTCTCAATGTTTTAACATCTCTCAGTCATTCTTTCTGTGGTCCTATCACAACTCCTCTATAATTTTAGAATTTATTTCTGCGTATTTTTGCAATTGAGAAACAAATTTTGAGCTAACAACTTGCCAAATGAATTAATTCTTACAAAATTTATTTTATTTAGATTTACAGCTTTTCCACAGAAGCATTTTGATTTGTTATTAAATAAAGGTTTCTGAACAAGGAATTTCAAGTGTTACACATTCTTCTTCTCCTTCTCTCCTATGTTATCACTGCAGAACGTCTTACAACATCAATGAAAGACAGCACAGGGTACAAAACACACCACTGCCATCCAGTACTACTTGTTCATGCTGAGAAACAAAGGTCAACACAATAAAGTGTTACTCATTCAACAACTGTCTCTATCATTAGTTACCTTAATCCCAGAACCAGTGTTAGTGCTTCATGCAGACCTGAGGTTAGTAAAAGACTAAAACTTTAAGGAGGTGTAGTGGTCATTTCTCAATCAGTGTGAAATTCTTTTTAGTGTGAACAAGGGCAACAAGGAAAGTTCGCATACAATTTGGTTACAAGCTTAGTGCTCTAGTAAAAGTAAGAGGAACAAAGGGGTTTTTTGGACACTTTGTCTTACCTTCAGATAAACAGAACTGATATTTAATGATCTAAAAAGAGGGGAAATAAAATAATGAAATAATCATAAGGAGTTCAAGAAATTTCAGAACAGGAAGGCCTTGACTTACTCATTTTCTTTTACCGATTTTCTCATTAGTAACTGAAAATGCAGTATCCTCTTATAAAACAGGTATTTTACTGGAGGGCAAAAATGACCTTAAAAACAACTTTGCAGCTAATAACCTGGAAACAAAACTGATGACTGCAAGGCTCCCAGATTTCCAATTTAAAACTTTACATTCTAAAAAAAGTAGTGAGCCGTAAAACCTTCTTATGAGGAAGGTGTACTTAGATTAAATAATGTGTCTACCTGAACTAGCCTGGATGAAGGAGTACCAACACTTCCATGGAGACTTTATACAGGGGAATGTGACAAAATTCACTGTAAAAATACGGGGTCTGGTTGCTATATTAAAGCAGCTTGCCAAATCTTAATGCCAGGCATTGGCTCATGATGCCAGGCAACGGAATAAAGATTTAAAAGCAACTTTGCCCAGGTCCTCAAATACAGTCTTTTCAATTAATGGTAACTCTTAATGATGTGCCAAGGTCTGAATTTTTAGTCTTTATAAGTAAGGATACTGCATTTCAAGTAAGACTGTACAAAAACAGTTCTTTACTGTACTTCTTACCTGTCTCTGAGGGCAAATGGTGGTAAGGTGCTGGACAGAAAACCTGAGCAGCAAAATCCTCAAAAGTTGTAGGCTCTAGATGATGTTGAACAATTGTTTGCAGGTATCGTGCTCTCTCCTCATAACTGGTTTAGCCAAGAATTAAGGAGCAATTTATATCGTGTACTGTAACTGCTAAATATCAGTGCCTAGTAATTCAGAATTCTTGGTTTTGTTAAATACGTATCATGTATCTCAGTGACTGTACACACTTATTTTTAATTCTTTACAGAGCTATGATATTATCTGATGCACTGAAGTAATATTAACTGTAAGATAAACACGATTAATGTAAACCTTATGGTTCAACTATCTTTTTTTCACGTGTGATGCAAAACTTTCTGAAAATTTTTTCAAACAGCAACTTAAATACTCTCTTTTAAGTAACTGATTTGGCTATACTCTGGTCACAATTAAATATAAAAACGTTACAATTTTTAAGAGGTATAGCATGAAAAATAACATTAGCATTAACAAAATAAATGATTTTGCACTTTTCCATAACAAACTGCTTCCATAATCCCTAAGCACACACACACACACACACACGCAGTTAAGATAAACACGTAGCTAAATTTGAGTATTGGGAAAAACACCGCATCAATTATGCCGTTAAAACAAGCAAGAATATTTGTAAAGAATCCGCAGGACCCTTAAATACTGGCTAACAGGGTGTCGGCAGGGCACTGACAGCAAAATACTGTACTTCTTCCTTTTCCCTGTGTTCTCCCTCTCTGATATTATTGACAAGAGACCGGTATCTTGAAGTGTTGTTGCTTTTGAAGAACCCTCTCCAGGCTTCTTGTTCCAGCAGGCCTGATTGTGCTGTTAGCACAGAGAGAGCGAGAAAAAGAGAGAATATTTCTGCTGTTCATGAAAGCAACTATGGAAATGGCTGTCAAAATGTGGAGCAGCAGGCAGCAACATACAATTATCAAGAAAAACTACCATGCTGACTTCATGTCGTATAGTTCCTGAACTGAGAAATCAGTTAACCTTTTCTCTCACAACTTTCAAAGTCCTCCAGCTGGACTCAATACGTTGAATGAGGGAGACCTTCTCCAGTTACCTTATAGAACCATAAAACGATCAGAAATTTTCCCTGGCATTTATGCTTGTGCACATTTTTTTTCATATTTTATTTGTAGACACTGAGATCATTTTCTCCTTATGTAGTTCTCTTTTCCTAAAAAAAACCCCAAACAAATCAGCATGCTGTGGAGGAATGCACTCAGAATCAGGTTCTTGAAGGTTCTGGGTTCTGATTTCAGGTTTGCTGCTCTTTTGGGGGGGAACAGGGACAGTGAGGAAACTACCTTTCCGACTCAATTTCACCATCTGTGAAATGCGGATAATATTTATCTTGCACACATTTTTTAGCACTCCAAACATAAAAACTGCATTACAAGTGATAAGCATTTTTAATAACAAGTACTAACACTTAAAATAAATAACTATACGACTTTCAATTATGAAAAGCAATAGAATTGCCAGCCCCAAATGACAGCTGGAAACAATACCCTTCATCTTAGCTTTTAAAACTACACTTCAACAATTATGGAACTTTCCCTATGAAACCTTTTTGCAGTTTTTTTCTGTACAATATTTACAGTAGATTTTGCAGTATATCTAAAATGAAAAAATGTATAGAGAATATATTATCTGAAAAGAACTTCCAGTGAATAAATCAATATTCATTGTATTTCCTTAGACCACAACTTGGTTACATAGTGAAACTGGGAAACAATTTTTCCTCCAAAATCCATGTTCCAAATTCTTTCTGGATCCCGAGACAGCTGAACCTCAGCAGAAGTCTCAGGCTGGAGAAGCTATAATAGAAGCACTGGGACAAGAGAAAATATAAAAATCTCCCATTGTAACGGTTCTTAGGTTGGGGGATAAACACAGTATTGAGCCTTAACAGAGGAGAGTAATATAGCACAGTTTTTAAGAGGCTACATGTAAGTGGTAGAGGATGAAACTGATGGTTGAAGTCTAAATAATACTATGTATCTCACAACTTGTTGAAAAGCACTTTTTCCATTGGGGGAGATTCACAGCTGCTGAATTTTCTGCAGTTAATAGAGTCCTTTGATTCACAGCAGTGCCCCTTGCACAAAAAATACTGGCCTTTGTGTATTACCAGAAACTAATTTTCTATTTGGCTGAAAAGGGAAAAATGGGGTTATTGCTTCTCCCTCCTACAGAGCTTTTCATTATGCCTGATGCACTCAACTTCTAAGCTCTTCTGAGAAAAAAAAAATAACTGAAGAGGCAAGAGGTAGAAAAATGAGCTTGTTAGCACATTAGAAGTGAAGTATCTTGGTGGGCCCTAGAAATTCCCAGTGGTGTGTTAACTTATCACTCTATGCATGCTGGCACTGATAGTCTCCCAATTGATCACTCTCTTTTCGCACCAAAGGTGCTGCCAGGAAGCAAAGGCTGAAGGCCCACAGGAGAACAGGCTGCTATCAAAACAAGCTGTTTTTAAAAGTCTACTTGAATGGGTAAAATGTTTCGTGAAAAAGTAGGGTGGAGACACCTACCTGCTTTTAAAATGCTCTACTTTCAGAGGTCTCTAAGGGAAACCTTTTAGTTTATCCTATTATATCCAAAGCTTATACACAAATAAGGCAAAAATGAAGGAAAGTTACCGCTCTGAACCTGACAAGGACATTCCCATTCTCCAGTCTAGGTACCTATCTCCTAACCAAATAAAGAAGTCTTGACACACATGCTGACTGAGGAGAATAATGGTGTTTTCATTACACAGTGGAGAGGACATGCTTATCTCAGTTCTAGAAGTCTAATTCAAATGCACGCTTAGTACAACCAGAGAAAAGTAATTCACCTAGCCAGGTTGCCGCTCGTCCTAACAATTCACAAAGCCACCTGCAGCTTTTTAGAAACAGAACCCCGCTTAAAAACAAAAGTCTGATGCAAACGCCAAGTCCAAAGCTTGCTGTATCCTGCACTAAGAAATGACATGCTCTCCTCAGAAGAACTCCTCTTCTGTATTAGAAACCGAGTAGCTGAGATTTGGATACTTTTATCTTCTATTCACTTACACTTTGCGAACATTCTAGTATTTTAAAACTCCAAAGTTGTATGCTGTTGTGGCTGAGATACTCTAGTTCTACACCGTATTTGAATGCAACTATCTGCAAGAGTGACCATAAACCCATGGTAGTTAATTTCTACATTACTTCTAATAGGCTAGACATTTATTTCTTTAAAATGCTGCTCTCTAGGGAAGAGTTATTAGCACCTACAAATTGAGCGACACATACAATCTCAATGGCTAGTAATAATAGGGCAATGCAAGCTGTATTCTTACTGCCAGTGGATGTTGCCACTGTCATCAGCAATTAAGATGGAATGGGAAGGATGCACGGACGAACCAATGGAGAAAGAGTCTGGCACAGAGAGTGACTAAACATTTAAACAACAGTGTTGTGAGCTTTCTGCTTCTGAAGAAGGTGCCAACTGGAACAAAAGAGAACGGATAAAAAGGCAAGATATACATTAAGGCACTCACCCAAATCTGTCAGCTAAAAACTTGTAGATATATAATCTGCAAAAAAAGCATAACAAAAAATCTAATGACTTCATTATATTTTTTCAGAAGATATTGTTCTGAAAAATACAATCAGTACAAGAAAAAAAATCAGGAATTGTACCTCAGGTTGTAGTCACTCCAGCTACAATTTCATTTGCATTACAATCCATTTTATTTATTCTCTAAATTTGCAATTATTTCTATTAATACTGAAAATACTGTACTTTCCATTATTACTGTAAACATGCAAATTTTTTTAGAGCTGTTCATTTGCACTTGGGAACAAGCGCTGAAATCCTGGCTGTCAGATCACCTACTTATGCTTACTCTGTCTGAAAAACACCACCTCATGTCTTCACCTAATAGCTCTCCGTCAGTGTTGATTGTATCACTTTCTTTTTTAACTCAAGCTCTGTTTAGATTCCTATGGCAGAATACATCTACATCTTGCAGATTCTTTTTGCATAATCTAAGCTAAAACTTTTTCTAGCCATCTACATGAGCAAATTATCTAGGCTCTTACTTCACATCTCAGTTACTGCCATATCCTTTTCTCTGGCCTCAGCAAATGAATTTTTATTCCTCCTTGTATCTACTCAGAGCATTGCAGAGCCCACTTTCTGAACATACTGCTTAGATGGGACATTCTCTTCAGGTATCGCCATCAGTCTGCCACTCCCTAGCACTAATGCAGGCTACTTATTTTAACTTTATAGTCCATACCTATTTGATCAATTTTACCAAAACTACTCTTGCCTCCAGTCAGTTAACACAGACAGTCACTCTCACTCACCTGACATTTTTGGACAGGCACTTTTTTCCATGTGGCTTCTTATACCTAGCACCAGGACACCATAAGTATCCACAAAACAATCTCCCCTCAAACTCCCCCCTTTGCTATGATGTTTATTGAAAAAGAAACAAGGAAAACACCTTGGAAGACTTAAGTCCATTGCTGTGTAGGTCACACAAGTATTCATGCTGTCTACTATTGTTTCACGTTTCCCTGAATTCTCTATCTGCCTTCATTTGTTGTCTTCAGCTTTATACTTGGCTTTTTTACCTCTAGGGGACAAACAACATCTGTCTTGTGCCGTACTCCATCTCAGTATAACGAGGCAGGGGTCTATGCTAAGGATATATATGTGCCACAATAATACAAGCAGAAGAGCTCTCCTCCTTGCATTTTCATCCACCATCTTAATCTTTTTCCTTTATATCCAGAACAATTCCCTCACATTGCCAATTTTTTTTTATCCATGGCTTTGTCATCCTTCAATTTGGTGAGGAAATTGGTTTGCTACATTTTCCCATATCTCTAGTTGTTTAGTCTTTATTTTTCCTTTCCTGTAATTTTAACCATGCCATCTCCACAAAATCCCATGCTTCCCATTGTTCAGCCTCTTCTACTGTCTCCATCTTTCAAGTCCTTCTGTTGAATTCATCTCCTCATAGTCATTTCCATAGATTTATTGTGTCATTCTGACTACACGTTTTCTCTCCATTCTTCTTTTTCACACCTCTCAG